ACTTAATTTTGTTCCACTGTTAAATAAACTTAACCAAAGATGCTCTCCTTAAGTTCGTATATGTAACAAATAGGTGACACCGGAATTATAATAAAGATTAACAAATGCAGAAGGTATTAAATTTCAAATGCTCATTTTATAAATTAATATCTCTGCCACATGTACAAACATCGGGGTGAACAGTTGTGGTGACAGACACAATACATGTTGGACATATCGGATTGGCTAACATTATACTTTTAAATTCAGTGATTACGGGTATTTTCATTTTTGCATTCTATTTGCGGCTTCAGTATAGTGCTTATTGACTCCATTCTTTATCGGCATCGGTCCTGAACCGATTTTTCCCTTTTTACATAATCATCAATTGGCCTCTTCATGGATATACCGCAACTAACTTCAGGGTTGTTTGGATATAATTTGTACTGCTGCTTTTTTCCCTTCTAATTTATCAAAAAGACTGGTTTCTGCGGATATCTCAAGACTGCAGAAAGAAAGACAAACAGAAGGCTCCGTGCGCGAACTATAGAAGAACTCTGCGCTGGAGGTAACTCTCGACTTTTTTGGAACTATATTAATAGTCATCGTATGAATGACGTAGATCTACAAGCCTTCGTATCTAGACGAATGCAGACAATAAAATTACTGGAACTTCTAAAGATCATATACCTTGTAGCACCTCCCTTGTTTTTCCTGTTCTCCGAAAACATTACCCCTTTCTCATGCAACGATTTTTCAATGGTCTTGCACTCGAAAAGTAATACTCTGCTGCTGGTTGCAACAGCATCAAATTCAGCGATGGTCAGAGCCCTTTCTGTTCAAAGTCGACGAGCCTTTCTTGAGGTCATTAACTTCCCATGCACAACAAACAACTTTCCAGGCGAGTGGAGGCGCATCAAAATGCTTCCAATACCGAAGCTTGGCAAAAGCTACGAAGATATCAATAACTTCAGACCGACTGCCCGCATTTCAGTGCTATGTAGAATCACTAATCGGATGGTCAAAGAAAGATTTGTTGCCTTCCTTAATGACTACAATATCTTACCACCTCGTTCTTTCGTATATCAAAAACGAAAAATGACCAACACGTGCGTTAATGAACTCGCAATGATCATCAATAGTGAAAGAAGAACACGCAGAAAAATTGTTCTTTTATGCAAGGCTTATGACTGTGTCAACCTCGGGACACTAGTGAAGATGCTAAATCGGTTGTCGAGCAAGGTGGTTGGCCTCGAGACCGCTGCTTAAGCCTTTTTCTCTTCAATCTGCTCACGGCCTATTTGCACTAGCTGCATGATTTCAAAAACCACATCTTCCAACATGCTGATGATTCTCCGCTGGTTTCCGTTCTTTAAGAATGCTGTCGAAAATCTCACCTTGAAAGTAAATCCTTTTTACGAAGAATGTATAAAACTGAATCTTTGTTCATGTCCAGTCAAGATCAGAGCAATTTATTTCGCACGGAGGTCAAAAAAACTATCAATATTTTTATCAGTGACATCAAAGTTATCCAATAAAGGTCCTTTCGTTTTCTTGGAATCTCCATTAATACTAGCATAACCTTTCGTAATCATTATGAAGAAGCCTTTAAAAATTATCGGTCCAATTCTACTGTAATCAAGCTACTTACTAGCAAATATGCTGGCTTGCAAACAAGCGCTCTTGATGTACAAGTCCCTTGTACGATCGAAAATACACACATTCTGCGACATGTGACCAGCGCATGTAGTCAAACAAATTTAGAGCTGTCTCTGGCATGGTTCCGGTGTCTGAAAGAGCTGAGCTACTTACGGCGAAAGAGCTAATCAAGCTGAAAGCATTGAGGCCCCCTTGTTAAGCAAAGCTATGCTTTTTACTACGTCCTTTAAGTACTGGAAAAGGTCAATCAAATGCCTCAAGAACGAGAAATGGAAGCTTCAAGAAGGCCGGGCACAGACACGCTTAGGCAGCGCCGTTAGGTAATTCCAAAAATGTGTAAGCGAGAACTTCGATGGCAGCATCCGTTTTCTAAAGAAATTTGCAATGCTGTTCAATTTTGTGAACAATTACTTTTATCCCAATTATTGAAGTGAAGCGAACAAGCTAAATCTCTATGAAACTCTCCAGTCTGCAAATAAATGATTTCGAAAAGTAGCATTGAAGCATTTCCTATTATGCTTTTCGTCTATAAAGCCATTTAAAGACAAAATTTTTTTTGAAACGGTAAAAACAAAGGTGGTCCACATGATTTTTTATTCAATAACAATGACGAAACGTTAAGAACGCTACTATAAACAAAGCAAAAAAGCACAAAACTCAATCTTCCTCTTTGATGGGAATAATCGGCTGCCACGCGTTGGGATTCACGTAAATGTTTGAAATGGTGGCACGTAACGTGAAAATACCACGATTTAAGGGCACGGGCTTAGGCTTCTTCGCCGCTTCCGACAACCATTTCTCCCATGCGTCAGCAGCCATATGTCTTCGCTGTTCTTCAATTTCCCGACGCTTCTCTTCCTCTTGGCGTTTGATTATTCGACGACGTTCTTCCTGTGCACGCTTGCTTTTCTCCCATTCTACTAAACGTGCCTTAGACTCTTCTTTACTCAGTTGAGAACGTGACGGCTTTTCGAACACTTCCGAACGTGTTGAGGACGATTTGATCGTTTGCTTCGAACTGATTTGTTGCATTGATGAATGTTGTGGTGGTTGACTTTTTGATTGACGAGCTTTTGTCTCTAGCCATTTCTGGAATTTCTCTTCTGCTAAACGCTTGCGTTCTTCTATTTCCCGTTTTTTTTGTTGTTCGGCTTTTTTCTTCTTGGCAGCCGCATCAGTTAGAAGCTTTCTAAATTATATATATATATAAAAATCTTTCTCGAAATGCATTGAAACATCATGTACAACTCACTTTTTGGCAGATAGCCAAGTCTCGTAAGCACTGTTCGGTTTCAAAACTATCTTGGCCGGTTCGCAGTATTTGCGGTAGGAAAATGTGCAATCCTGTGTAGTAGGGTAATTGTCTTCCGACTGCAAGTCCAAAGGTGGCACGATATCACTTTCAGTTTCCGAACTCGCTCGGCCCTTACTACGAACGCTTTTCTGACCAGCACCAAGCGTTCTTTCCGTCTCGCCACTTTTCTCAATGTAGGCGGCCGGATTAACATAACTAATAGAAAAAAAATTGCGTGTGCTTTGTAGGTTTTGTAATCGTCATATATTGGGAACAATAAGCATACCGCACGTTGCCTTTGATTTCGCAGCTGCGTGAACTGAGGTTTGATCTAGCAGTGCTGTCAGTGATTGACGACGTCAAGTTGCGTGCCGATGGTCGCCTTTCCAGCTCATTACCATCGTCATCCACTCGTGAGGTGTAGAAAGCCATCTTACTTTCGTTGCTCTGCGTTTCTTACCCTTCTGTTCTTTTCTTCGTAATGTAAAATTGGGTTTAAAAAAAATATAGCGCTTGAAGGGCTTATTCTATTATTTTCGAACGACGTAAATAGTTTAAAAAATTCACATAAATTTATTCAGTTTTTTTTTTTTGTAAAAGAGACGAAATATGGAGGGTTGCGTTACGTGAGAATTAGTTACAAAAGTCTTTATATATTAAATCGGAAAAAAACCTAACAAAATCTGCGAAAATTATTGAGTTTCCAAAAGTTGTAGCTTTTTTAAATTCAATGTTAGCTATGATGAGTTCAGAATTTTAAAACGACAGTACTTGTATAGAAATGAAAGTACAGTAGGTAGTCGAACAGTGTTTATAAAATTGGAATATCAAAGCAATGCTCGCCTACTGACCGCTATATGTTGAGAATTTTGCTATGGAAAAAGCTGTTAGGCTTAAAATTTCTTGAAGAAGGGCTCCGTAGAATCGAGCAAACATGACTTTGTAATAAAACCTGGTACATTTGCCTTTAAAGAGATGGTCGTCTGTTGACGTGCTAACAGTCTGTTATCCTATAGATTAATATGCTGGCAATTCCATGATGAGAGAAAGGCCTTTTAAATCTCCTGAAGATGGACCCCCTAAAAGCGAGCCACTACTTTCTCTTTGCAATAACTTCTTCTATATTATTCTTTGCGTATCTGCATATATGGCATTTTTTATTGTTAGTGGAGATTGCGCGTTTAGTGACGTATATGTAGGTATATATAGCGTGGTATAGGAGAATATACACAGAAAATCTTAAATATTAAGGATAATTTCTCAAATTAAATAAGCTTAGAGATAGATGTAAACAGCGATGTTCCTTTTGTCTACACAGCTATTTCCATTTGAATTTTTGGATAGGGATTATAGTCCACAATTTCGAAATCAGAGTACCTGAAATCCTCAATATTTTCCACGGCACGTTTTATTATCAATTTGGGAAATGCATGCGGTTTGCGTGTTAATTGCTCCTTTAATGGTTGGATATGCGTTTTGTAAATGTGCGTATCACCGGTAGTGTGTATAAACTCGCCTGGTTTAAGGCCGGTTAAATGGGCAATCATACACGTTAATAATGCATACGATGCTATATTAAATGGGACACCCAGCCCCATATCGGCACTGCGCTGATAAAGTTGACATGACAACTCATTATTGGATACATAGAATTGGGCCAAGCAATGGCAGGGCGGTAAGGCCATTTTTGGTATATCTACTGGATTCCAAGAGGACAAAATCATACGTCGATCTGTGGGATTTGTAGTTATTGTCCTAATTATCTGTTTCAATTGATCGACTCCCTCCGTACCATAGCTATCGCGACAAGTGCGATATTGTGCCCCAAAATGGCGCCATTGAAAACCGTAAATTGGCCCCAAGTCACCTTCTTCACGGTCGCTGAACCCGCATCTATCCAAAAATTCACGACTAGCGTTACCATTCCAGATGTGAATGTTTTTGTTTTGTAGGACTTTCGCATCAGTGCTGCCACTTATAAACCAAAGTAGTTCTTCACACACCGCACGCCAGAACACTTTCTTTGTTGTTAATAACGGGAATGATGCTCGCAAATTGAACCGCATTTGGGCACCAAATATAGATAAGGTACCAACACCTGTACGATCAGTTCTTTCAACACCTATAATATAAGCTATTAAACCGTACGTTCACACAAGGCTATTTAAGCGCACCTACCAGTAGTTAAGATCTTCTGAACTAAATTCAAATATTGTTGTTCATCCGGATTGTCGGACTGCTCAGATTGTCGCCGGCGACTGTATGAACTAGGCCCAAGTAATAAGTCGGCACCTTCTCCCTCTTGAATTGTTTTTTTTATCAAATTCCCATTTTCTTTTAAGTTAGACATTTTTATTTATTTATTTTCTTTTGCATTTTGAATACGTTTGCTAATTGACGATTTCTGGCCAAAATCACTTCACTCACTTCGTACTAACGCAAAGTGGGAAAACCAATTAATTTCGTGAAATTTTTGCGCCCAATCTCAAAGATCGCATATTTTTAGACGATGGAACATTGCATTAAGATCGTGTTTTTGCAAAAGTGAGAAAGCACGTCAATTCTAGAATGTTAACGTTGCAGTATGTGTTAAATTTCAAGAGAAGCAAATGACCACCAGATGTCTCCGATTTTCTGTGAGCAGTACTTGAATTGAATGAAAAAAGGGGACTGAAATGAAATTGTCTAAAGCATGTTAATTAAGTGCGTTCAAGTTGTTAGATTAACATAAGGAATACTTAATTTTGTTCCACTGTTAAATAAACTTAACCAAAGATGCTCTC